CCTATCTTGAGCACACTGTATTCTATCTATGAGCACATGCAAACATAATTAATAACACTGTTTCTATATAGATATATATATATATATATATATATATATATATGTAGATGATCTCCTAATGTGTGCATATCGATGTTAACCTGCGTGCGTTTCCGTTCCGTGGTTACAGCCGTTTCCGTGTCGACAATGCTGCAGCAGCAGGAGCAGGAGGAGATGCTCGACCTTCTGTACGACCCGACCTTGAACTGTTACTTTGACCCGAACACGTGCAAGTATTACGAGCTGGCGTGATGGCGGGATGACAGATACACATCCTTGTGTGTGCGTGTGTGCGTGCGTGCGTGCGTGCGTGCGTGCGTGCGTGCGTGTGTGCGTGCGTGCAAAGTTTACCTTTACAGATGGTGGCTGGTTCACAATGACCCAACCCAAACCTCACTACTCATGTACTCAACCACTAAAGTGTCAAACAAAATATTAAAAACGCGCATCTGTCTGCATGGGTAGCATTTTTGGCAGATTTCACCTGGTGGGCCGATTAGAGATTTCACGTGGTTAGATGGGTTTGGAAAAAAATACTATTCATGCGTAGTCTCATCAAGTAGCAAGTTCGTAGTGGTGTTGCTGGGAGTTATTATGTGTGAATATTCGCTGGATAGTGCGCGAACACACGGTGTGCCTATCCCAGGCTTGACGAAGAGGTAGTCATGGTTACGCATCCATGACTCTTCCATCTCCACTGCGTGTGACGTGTTGATTGACCCGCCGCGATGTTACAGCTCTACTTAAAGCGTCCGTGCTTTTATGAAACGCTGCGACGTCATCAGTAACGAGTAAAAAAGAAGCTGGTTAGTACGCATGCCAGCAGAGATGCGGCTGCTGTGTATAGCTAGCTGTGTATCCTGTGAGTGCGTGCATGTTGTCAGCATTAAATGCAGTAAGTGTACTCAGTGCTTGTGTCTTACATGTCTGCTGATAGGGCTGCTTCGTCTGTACTCGTTACTACATATTCGATTGCGTTTGTTATTACTATTGTTCATTATGATGGTCTATGTACTTGAATGTATAAGAACTTAAAAAATCTCAAACATCTGCGTGCATGCTCGTGTGTGTGCGCATGTATGTGTGTATGTGTGTGTGCGTAGGTGCGTGCGTGCGTGGGAGTGTGCGTGTGTATGCGTACATAGGTGCTTGTCTCGTATGAGTCGACCTACATTGTTAAGTTTATAACTATAAGAATTCTAGAGATGGGCGCTATATAGTTGTGATCATTATTTTATATTTTAACTACAAAATGTACAGAAGTTGTATAAAGTTTGTTATTTATGTGTTACATGAAAATATAAAATGTAATTAAACCTTCTATCTGCTGCTTTTATCCATTGGTGTTTGTCAAGTTATATTATACTAAGTAGGCATGCCTAATGATGTATTATTAGGCCTACCTACCTACCTATCTACCTACCTACCTACCTACCTACCTACCTACCTACCAGCCTACCTGCCTAGCTGCCTTTCATCACAAAATATAACTCCTCTGGTGAGATATTGCGCATGCGCTTACACAGTAACGTGGCCAGATTATGTACTGACTGGTATATGCAGCCGGGACCTTACATGCAAGGTCTGCTTCTTATTTCACCAGTGAGGTCTACTGATAGAATATTATCATAGAAATCTATGTTGGAATAATCCATCTTCATTTTAAATTCATAATTTTGGCAAAATAATTTCTTCTCGGGAGATATTGCGCATGCGCGAGCACCGTTTCAGACGTGCAGTACTGCCTAAATAAAAGCACGTAATATAGCTTGCTGAGGGAGAGAGGGGTGGGAGACTGAGTAAAGGTGGCAAGGAAGACAGCCGAGGGGCGGTGGAAGAAGAAGGAGGCTGAGCGTGCGACAAGGGAGGCAAGGGGAAAGGCGGGCGGGGATGAAGTTTTGCACCTTACAGGCTAGGGCGTGCCGCGCTCTCCTAATTATAAACACAGGTCTACTGCTAAGAACTTATTATAGAAATCGATGCTGAAATACCCCCTCACTATATTAAATGCATTTTCATCACAAAATATAACTGCTCTGGTGAGATATTGCGCATGCGCTAAAACAGTAACGTGGCCAGATTATGTACTGACTGGTATATGCAGCCGGTACCTTATGCTAGGGGCACACGAGCGTATTTTATCGCCCGATCGCGGCGATTAAAATCGCCAGCGAATTTAATCGCCCGATCACGAAGGGGCACTCGTAGCGAATTTGAGAGCGTACGCGTACGCCACTCGACGGAATCACATGATCACATGATGCATCACATGATATCAACAACACGTGCGATTGGTTTAGAAAAATCGATCGGGCGACAAAATACGCCGGACACGGGCACACGAGCGAATTTGCCAGTAAATAATCGCCGGCGTAAATAATCGCCCAAAATATCTAACATTTTGGATACGGACCCTAACCCTAACCCTAACCATATCAGATAGTTACCAGGGTACGTTCCGGCAGTACCCTGGGGGACATAGACCCTATGAGCCTCACTAGCCCACTGGCTTATCTCACCATTACCAAGTTACGAACAAAGGCAATGTAGATGTTGGGGGTCAACGAATGGTTTACTGTCGATCATGCTTGTAAAATATCCAGAAATTCATTTATTGAATTGTCCTATGAACGATTAATACATAATTAGGATCGAGTGGTTATGATAGTGTACAAGAAATTGGTGAATTCGAACCCTAGGCGCTATAAAGACACGTACGTGGATGTGCTGACGTATATTATTATTAATGACTCTTTGCTTTAGCCGCCACTAGATGGCAGTCACTATCAGGATGAGATGTTACAGCCTTCACCCGGTACAACACTGAATTCATCAAATCCTCGGTGAGACGTTTGCATGATTTCTCACTATATTCAAACATGATTTGTTAAGAACATTTATTGTGTACGAATTTATAAAGTATTTACTGCTACTACTATTTACTATTACTATTTAAATGGAGCTGAGAACGTTTCCATTGATGCAAATATTCGCATGAATATAAATTATAACCCTGCTGCACCATCTAGTGTTTAAAATGATCAGTTTTTGTTTCAACTCGTTGCCAGGCATTCACCTTTGTTGCGTTTTTAGTACGTACGTACTCTGTATGTTTTGACGACATTTCACGGTTTTCTCTATAAGCAAAATAATGATAACATATCGTAATAATAAGTAATTATAGTGATTCCTCTCTGCGGCAGCGAATGGGAAAGTGCATTTAGTCCATCAGTAGCTGCCGACCAGCAATGCGAACTCGACACAGATAAATCGCATCTCACCAGCCGCCACAAGCAGTCAGGTGCGTAGCCTATCTTGAGCACATTGTATTCTATCTATGAGCACATGCAAACATAATTAATAACACTGTTTCTATATAGATATATATATATATATGTGTGCATGCTGTAATGTATATAATAACAGTGTTTCCCCTGGCCAAAAAGGTCTGTGAGGTGGTAAATTATTTTTGGTGTATTTGCGCGTTTCGAAGTCCAAGCAAAGCGAGGCGGGTGCATGCCCCCTGGAATTTTTTTTTAAAATG